GTGCACTTGACGGAATGATGGTGTATGGCTTGTTTTGACTGATGCTAGGCTTAAGGTATCGATATGACATGCGATATGAACCTCCTCCCAAATGATAGCTCCATAGATAGATGTTATTTGCCAGCAAAACATTTTCAGTGCTCACGAACAAGCTGAGCATAAGGTCCACCAAGGAGTTGTAGAGGTTACTGTGCTTGGCTGCTGACCCAAGGGCTGCGAGTTCAGTGCCGGGCGTGGCATCGGCCTTTCGGTGGAGGCAAGTTGGTAGAGGCACGTGTATTGTGCAATGTCATTCCACGTTAAAGAACGTGAGACGATCGCAGTTTCCAGAGCCATCTGCTACAGTGTCAGTCCGTTATCATATCTTAATTTGGCACATAAAACCCCAGATAATTTTATTGCTATGCAGGGCATGAACAAACAGTGACAGCAAAAAATCTAGGATGAGCTGTCATAGAATGGACACAGAATTGATCATTTGTCATTTAACATAAGTGGCTAGTTGCTGCTTTTTATTTTCTTTATAAAATTGTATGTCTAGCTATAAGTTCTCAAGTTCAAATAAAAACATATTTCTGTGCTGTGATAATGAATATCTAGGTCACTACATGCTGCTTTTGTACAAAATTATCATAATCAGTTAGATGTCTTTGAGGTTTCCTGGCTCCTTGTGAACAATGCCAGGCCAAATCCAACACATCCCAGCATTCCCATGCATATAACAGCATTGTAGTGCCACTGTTTCCTTCTAGGAAACAGTAAAAAACTGTGTGTTGTGCTAAGCTGAAATTCTTTGAGAGTTGCTATTATGAATGGATGACTATTGCTATTATGAATATGCCTGTATTTTGTGTTGACTCAACAGGTTCCAGTGTTTGTGTGGTTTGATGGCTTTGTGTGGTTAGATTGCAGGCAGTTCTTAGATTTGGCTGCATGATGTTGTGGTGTTTCGATGTTCTAACGCAGGCTGCTTTGCTAGCTCTTTTTTGATTGACATGTTTTACAGGTCATGCTGGGTTGCCTTTCATCGATGCACGTGTAATTAGTATGAAAGCTGTTGTGAAATTCTTGTTAACAGCAGTAATGTTAAAAAACAAAGTTTCATTTTGGCCTAGCTGTATATGGCACAAGCGCAGGCTCCTTTGCACGAACTAACTGGATGCTAGGCAGAGTCTCTTTTGGATCCCTTTTCCTGTTGTCCCTCGTCCACGAATATTGACTTAGACCTCTTATGTTGGTTGCCTTTCATCGATGCACGTGTAATTAGTATGAAAGCTGTGGTGAAATTCTTGTTAACAGCAGTAATGTTAAAAAACAAAGTTTCATTTTGGCCTAGCTGTATATGACACAAGCGCAGGCTCCTTTGCACGAACTGGATGCTAGGCAGAGTCTCTTTTGGATCCCTTTTCCTGTTGTCCCTCGTCCACGAATATTGACTTAGACCTCTTATGTTGGTTGCCTTTCATCGATGCACGTGTAATTAGTATGAAAGCTGTGGTGAAATTCTTGTTAACAGCAGTAATGTTAAAAAACAAAGTTTCATTTTGGCCTAGCTGTATATGGCACAAGCGCAGGCTCCTTTGCACGAACTAACTGGATGCTAGGCAGAGTCTCTTTTGGATCCCTTTTCCTGTTGTCCCTCGTCCACGAATATTGACTTAGACCTGTTATGTTGGTTGCCTTTCATCGATGCACGTGTAATTAGTATGAAAGCTGTGGTGAAATTCTTGTTAACAGCAGTAATGTTAAAAAACAAAGTTTCATTTTGGCCTAGCTGTATATGGTACAAGCGTAGGCTCCTTTGCACGAACTGGATGCTAGGCAGAGTCTCTTTTGGATCCCTTTTCCTGTTGTCCCTCGTCCACGAATATTGACTTAGACCTCCTATGTTGGTTGCCTTTCATCGATGCACGTGTAATTAGTATGAAAGCTGCGGTGAAATTCTTGTTAACAGCAGTAATGTTAAAAAAAAAAGTTTCATTTTGGCCTAGCTGTATATGTCACAAGCGCAGGCTCCTTTGCACGAACTAACTGGATGCTAGGCAGAGTCTCTTTTGGATCCCTTTTCCTGTTGTCCCTCGTCCACAAATATTGACTTAAGACCTCTTATGTTGCAGCTCGGCAAGCAGCACCTTTTTCTGCTTTTCGTCTAAGCACTTTTTGTAATATATTTATATGTATAAACTCCACTCCAGGAGGTGCAAGTGAAGTAGCATTTCCTGTGAGTGCATTAGAAGAATCGAAACAACAGTGTTTTCTGAATCGCTCCAATTAAAAAAGTTGGAGGACACTTAATCTTCGCTTTAAGAGCAGAAGGCAATGGCATAATCCTGCCCCGTTCGCATTGGCTTTTGAATTTCTAGCCTGGATTCAGCTTGTCGATGGACACCTCATTAGCACTGCAAGTAAAGTAACGTCAGTGCGAATAACATCGACCATTTAAAACTATTTTATACTCAGTGACAACTTTTTTTGACAATCCTGTGGAAGCTATACCGAACTAAAGGGCATTGTTTGCTGCTGTGGCACAAAAATAGCACTTAAGTTTTCAGATAATTCTTCCATTTGTATCACTGAAATAAATACTGCTTTTTTTACTGTGAGCCTCAGACATTTGAAGAAAGTTGTATGTAAACTGCAAGAGTGCCTTTTTTTTCCGTTTCTTGGACAGTGTTTGTGACGTAGTGGGTGCGTGGCTGCCAACAAAAATATACTCACAATTTGTCACTAAAGTGTAAACTGAACAATCAAAATTCTATTAACACTTTTATGTCTATAATTTTTTTAATTAATTAATGATGCTAGCAAACAAATCCGAAATCAACATCAAGTTGCTGCACTACTTGCGGAGCAACACGATTGTAAGGAAGGCCCGCTTCTGCAGCGTTTGCTGCACTTTCAAGTCAAGTTGTCGCCGAGTATAGAATACTTATTGCAAGTTCAGTTGTAGAGTGCCCACTACACGTCTAAATGTAACACATAGAGCCTCAGGATTGTGCACATTGTTGGTGCACTTGCGGATAGTGATGAATAAATATGGTTGATTACTTGTTAATAACTAAAAAAAACACTAAAAAAAAACACTACTATAAGTAACCGAAAACAGGAACAACTTATTATTCAGAAAGAGCAGAAGTATGGTTGGAGCTTTGTTCAAGAAAGCAGAATTGAAAAGAAAAATGACACAGAGAATTACATTTCCAATGCTCAGTTTTTTTTGCTGTTTACACACGAGAACCTGAAAATTATGTACAATAGAAAGGCAGTGAAGCAGGCATGGTCGCTGGCAGGATTTTTTCTTGCGGGGTGCAAACCAGTGTTGTATCGTGGCTGAGGGAGGGGGAAAGCAATTGGTGTAGCTTGGTTGAGGGCAAGTTCTGGTGAGGCTTGATTGGGGCAAGTGCCCCTTCTGCAACGCTTCCCCTTCCCTGACTGATGCCTGTGGAAGAAGATTATCTTGGCTGCTCACTGCTTTTCACATGTGGTTGATCATGTCTTGGTCATATCCTTGTTTATTATGTACTATTAATGTGGCTGTTCTTTACCTTTTGTATGAATTTTTACTATTTTGCCCGTCTCTTTCTGGCAGTAATATTTCTGTCGGTGCGAGTTTCTTGACATGCTATTTAAGTATCTCCGGCACATAAACAATGAAAAAAAATACCTTTAAAAATTTTTGAATTTAATGGTGTTTTTTTTATTATCAATTGCGATAGCATTCTAGCGGCTTAGTGATACTGCATGTCCTGTTCAGGAGCGAATCATGATGCACTTTCTCTGAATGTGTCGAATTCACACACCATACTTTTAAAGCGTTCATTAGTATATTCATAGAATGGAAATGAAGCGATGTGTTGTTTTGCACGAGTTTCGCTAATAAATTATAATTGACACATGATAAATACTTCATCATTCTCCAGTCAATCATGTTCCCCATTGCTACAAAAAGTATGCAAGCATAGACTCCGAATGTGTGCACATTCAGTTATTGGTCGCATTCATTTTCAGAAAAGTAGTATTCTCGACATTGGTTCTGAAACGCAGCACGTTCGAACAGCCCATCGAAAACGTTGTAGTGCCTTGATTAAAGTGATCGGCTACAGGAATACATGGTACACTGACGTGAGGTCAAGACGTACTGACTGTGCAGAAAGTTCAGTACATCTTATCAGCAATTTACTGTGTTCTTTTTCGGTCACAAGTAGTTCACACAACAATAAACAACAAGTTACGTACACCAATGTAGCCAACGCCGCTAAAGGGGACGTATTACTGGAAAGTGAAGACACTAGTCAAAGCACTGCAGCATACCAAAGGCTTAGCTAAACATTTGGATGCCAAGTGTTGTGGCGTTCACCATAATTATCGAGTTGTATTCATGTTAGTTGAGAACATCTTTAAATATTTTTTAGCTTTACTCATTCTTGGTGATGCCAAAAAAAATTTTCTCGCCAATATTTCCGGAAGGATTTACCTTTGATAAGCGCTTTTTCTTGCTGTCGCAAAATATGGGAAAGGTGGGGAAATTCTAAAAAATGAGAACATCTTTAAATTTTTTTCTTGAAATTTCAAGCCATTTGTAAATTGCTTTAGTATTATTAAAGCTTTCTTTTCTGTGTTTAAAGTTTGTTGTGTATGTTAGACTGAATGTATTTATACTTACGTTCACTTTATTGCAACAAAATGCGAGCCTTGCTTGCTTGTTGGTACCTTTAGAATAACAAGAATTGCAAGTGGGCATCAAGACAGTAAGCCTGTCTCATGGTCTTCCTCGCAGTGAATGTAATGCCTTCTGCTGGTATTTTTCATTACCATAAGTGAAACAGAGGGCCTTAAATTTGTATGCGTGGCTGCATATTCCCAAAAAACTGGGCACTGGACAACAAAATTTTGAGCTACTTGGTAGTGATTCAATGTAGAAAAGTGTTCAATGTGTGTATGGCGTATTGATTGTCCATGCCGAGTATTTGTAACACTGTCCCACTTTTTGGCTCTGACAGGTGGTGAGGAATGGCGGCGGGGTCACTGCTGTGGCTTGCCGTGGCTGCAGCTTTGGCTACAGCCCTTGCAGCAGACAGCGGGGAGGTACGCCGGCAATGGGGTGTACCAGATACCAGCATCGTTGTGGGTCGGCTATTCAACTTCTCAATTCCGGCAGATGCCTTCCAGGGGCATGTCTCCAAGTTTCAGGTAAATAAGCTTACCTTGCATTGCTGTGATTGCGCACGACCTTGATCGACCTTAAGTGAGGGGCGAGCTCAAATGCCTTTTACATGCAAAATAAACAAAGCAAAAGTAACATCCGCTACCTGATCAACTTTTTTAATACAAGTTTTTAACCTCAAGTCTGTCCCAGGAATGGAATAGGAATATATACAGTATACACAGTTATAACAGCCAATTCATTTTAGCCACAGCGAGCCTTTACTAGAAATGTTACACACCTGTACTTAACATCGTCTTACCGCACAAGGGTACACCACAAAATACTAACCACATTACGGGGATGAAAAACAATGTTGTGCACATACAGTAGGTTCCCAGTAAACGAAACTCCCTTATACAATATTGCTGCTTAAATGACACAACTGTCTCTAATATGATTGGTTTTGTATGTAAATTTCGTGCCCCTTTTTATCTCTCAGTATAAGAAACTCCTGCTGAACGAAACACATTTTTCTGGTACCTGTTTTAACAGTTTTCATTGCACTTCAAAATATATAACTTTTATTTCAAATAGACTGAGCTGCAGAAAGTCCATAATAAGATTTTGATCAACCTTTGCGATGCAAATGATGGCTTGCTCAGCTATGGCTGCTATGTTCATGCCTCTTTTCCACTCTCATAAGCAAAGTTTTGAATTGTTTAATACAGTCCTCCCGTTGTGCTTAGTCTCAAATTTGTGTTGTGCACCATGATGGCATTCCCTCAGCATTTTATTTCTTAATGAAATTGTTTTGTTATATCCCACAAGAAATATTACATCGTTAAAATGTCATGTGGTTTTACATGAAATGGTTTGTGAGAGGATTTGCTGAGCAAATCATGATTTGCTGATTATATTCATTAATGTTGTTAGAGGTTTTACTGTACCCTAATATAATGAACTTGAAAGTACAGTAGACTCACCATAATTCAAACTCTGATAATTCATACTTCTGGTTAATTGAAAGCAAATGCAATTTTTTGGTTGGCCCTCTATTCTGTCAATGTACTTAAAAGCCTCTTAATTCAAACTCCATTGTACAGTCAATTCATACTTTTCACAGTTTTATACCAAAAAAATCTGCTGCTTTCCTACTACTATATGAAATATGCATGCTTCATAATGTAAATGCAAGGTCAAAAGCGGTATCAGTGTCGGTACAGAAGCAGCAAGAGCTGGCCGGGTGTACGGGTAGCGTCGCAGCAGCAACCAGGCAGACTTAGCTCGTGCCTCGCGCCAACGTGTCGACGTCGCTGCAGTAGTGGGCATTTCTCTTCACTACACTTTGTCCCCGTCGGAAAAGGAGCCATCCTGGCGACTTACGGGGAACAGAGTACGAGCGGATCGTAATAAGGTTTCAACCGCTGTACGTGAAGGGTTTCACGACCCCGAAAGCGCTGGTCTGTGGATAGCGTAACGGATTCGACGATGTAGTTAACAGGTGAAGTCTGCTAGACAATGCGGTAGGGTCTCTGGTATTTTGAAGCAAGCTTCGAGGAAAGGCCTGTAGGCACAGCGGGAACCCAAAGCCACACAAGAGTATTGGGAACAAAGTTAGGGTCCGGCTGGTTATCGTCACGTCAAGATTTTTGTCTCCATTGGTCAACAGTTGTAAATGACTGGGCGAGCTTACGGCATTCCTCGGCACGGCGGGCAGCTTCAGGGATAGGTGTAGACTCGGAGGAATCTGGCTGGTAAGGGTAGAATGGTATCTAGTGTGGTGGAAGGGTCTCAGCCATATAACAGGAAAAATGGCGAAAAGCCCGTAGTTGCCTGTGGAGCAGTGTTACATGCTGTACAGTCACAAAAGGCAGAATGAGGTTCTAATCGGAATGGTCTGAGGCAACATACTTAGATATCATGTCCCCTAGAGTACGGTTGAATCTTTCCGTCAATCCATTCGTCTGCGTATGGTAGGGGGTGGTAGTCCAGTGAATGGTACGGCATTCGGCAAGGAGTGCGTTGACGACTTCAGAGAGGAATACACGTCCTCTGTCGCTGAAAAGTTCACGCGGTGCGCCGTGACGGAGAATGAAGGTCTGCAGGAGAAAAGAAGATAAGTCACGTGCTGTGGCAGCAGGCAAACGGCTGTTTCTGCGTATTGCGTCAAATAGTCGACAGCGACAACAATCCAACGGTTTCCGGAAGCCGTGAATGGAAGAGGCCCGTACAGATCGATTTCAATGCGGTCAAAAGGTCTGGCTGTACAAGGGATTGGCTGGATCGGACCAGAGGTATGACGAGGCAGAACTTTTCGTCGTTGGCACTGTGGGCATGACTGAATGTACTTGCGCAAAAAGGTGTACATGCCTCGCCAATAAAACCGAGAGGAAAGCCGAGCGTATGTTTTGAAGATGCCCGCATGTGCGCACTGAGGGTCAGCGTGGAAAGCTGAACATATTGCAGCACGAAGATGGCGAGGTATGACCAGTAACCACTTTCGGCTGTCAGACTTGTAATTCCTGCGATAAAGGAGGCCATCAGGGACCTCAAAGCGAGCGGCTTGACGGCGCAACGTTTAAGAAGATGGAGAAGTCGACGGATCTGTAAGGAATCGCAGAAGAGAGCTGATCCAGTCATCCTTACGTTGCTCAGACGCCATGTCACAGTTTTCTGGGAACGCAACCATTTCGTCTACTGCAGATAAACATGCAGAGCTTTCGGAGGACACAGGTGAGCGTGATAGAGCGTCGGCATCAGTGTGACGTCGGCCAGACCTGTACACAGCACGCATGTCGAACTCTTGCAACTGCAAAGCACAGCGAGCTATACGGCCGGAGGGGTCCTTCAACGTGGATAACCAACAAAGCGCATGGTGATCGGTGACTACGTCGAAGGGGCGACCATATAGGTACGGTCTAAATTTACCTAGAGCCCATATAATTGCCAGACACTCCTCTGTCGCAGAATAGTTGTTCTCTGCTTTGGTGAGGGTACGGCTTGCGTATGCGACTACATATTCCTGGAATCCCGATTTGTGCTGCGCGAGCACAGCGCCGAGTTAATATCGCTAGCATCGGTGTGTACCTCCGTCGGAGCAGTCGGGTCGAAGTGACGCAAGATTGGCGGCGAGGTTAACAGGCGGCGCAACTTTTCGAAAGCATCGTCACAGGCAGGTGACCAAGCGTAACTTTTCGAGTCACTGCGTAGAAGTTTAGTCAAGGGGGCGGTGATCATCGCAAAATTCCAAATAATGCGGCACAAATACGAGCAGAGGCCAAGAAAGCTGCGCAGATCCTTCAGAAACGCAGGTTTAGGGAACTCTGCAACTGCCCGAAGCTTGGCGGTGTCAGGAAGAATACCCTTTTAGATACAATATGACCGAGGATGGTGAGCTGACTTGCGCCGAAGCGGCATTTCTTCAGGTTGAGCTAAAGGCCGGCGTCAGTTAGGCACTGCAGCAGTTCATCTAGCCTGCGGAGATGCGTTGGAAAATCCGGTGAAAATGTCATCCGGTGAACCAAGTCATCCAAGTAGCACAGGCATGTTTTCCACTTCAGGCCATGCAAAAGATTGCCCATCTTTCGCTCGAATGTTGCGAGTGCATTGCAAAGACCAAAAGGCATGACACAGAATTCGTTAAGGCCATCAGGTGTGACAAAGGCCGTCTTAGGCTGATCTTCAGGTGCCAGAGTGACTTGCCAGTAGCCACTCCGTAAGTCAATAGAAGAGAAGAACTCCGCACCTTGGAGGCAGTCAAGGGCATCGTCGATTCTCGGTGACGGGTAAATGTCCTTTTGAGTTATTTTGTTAAGATGACGGTAGTCCGCACAGAAGCGAATTGACCTGTCCTTATTCTTAACGAGAACGACTGGAGATAGAGAAGAACTCCGCACCTTGGAGGCAGTCAAGGGCATCGTCGATTCTCGGTGACGGGTAAATGTCCTTTTGATTTATTTTGTTAAGACGAGGGTAGTCAGCACAGAAGCGAATTGACCTGTCCTTATTCTTAACGAGAACGACAGGAGATGCCCAGGGGCTATTCGAAGGCTGGATGACGCCATGCTTGAGCATGTCAGCTACTTGGTCATCGATAACCTGGCGCTCGGCTGCGGACACGCGATGGGGTCTTTGACGCAATGGCGCATGGGTAGACCTGTGTTGATGCAATGACACACAGCTGATGTGCGGCCGAGGGGAGCATGCTGGCAGTCGAAGGAAGAACGGAACTTGTTCAGCAGTCGTAGAAGCTGAGCACGTTGCGAAACGGTTAACGTTTCGGCAATGGAGCTGCTCAGTACGTCAGGCCTAGTAGTCTGCGGCGAAAAGGCACAGGTCACTCCGGCGACTTCGTGTTCGGCGGAAGGATCAGTCAGGCATGTCGATAATTGCAGAAGGGTCGAGACTGTAAACACGCCCGACGTACTCACCCCAAAGTAGTGTTACAGGACATGACAAGAGGTTCGAGATAAGCAGTCTGCTGACGCCGTCATGAAGTTCTAGAAGGGCGTAAGGTAGCGGCGAACACTTGCAACGACCTGAAAAGAGCAGATGGCGTGAAAAGGCACTAGACTCTGCAAGCGAGTTGCAAGACACCATGGTAAGGGCAAAAGAGTGCGGCGGTATGATGACGTCTTCAGCAACAAGTAGTTTGTCCCCGGTTTCATGAGCATCGTATAATGGAGCCGTCGTCAAACACTTCAAATGCCACCTCAGAACGAGAGCAGTCGATGACGGCCTTATTAGTGGAGAGAAAATCCCAGCCCAAAATGAGGTCATGGGAACAGGAATTCAACACTAGCAATTCAACGACATAAATGAGGCCATCAATCGCGATGCGAGCAGTACAGGCAGCGGCCGGTGTGACGCGGTCTGCGCTGGCTGTACGAAGTGATATACTTGCTAGTGGCGTCGTAACTTTTTTGAGCAAGCGGCAGAGTCTAGAGCTTATCACTGAAACTACGGCACTAGTGTCGACAAGAGCGAGTGCAGCCACGCCATCCACATGTACGTCCAAAACATTCGTGGTGAAGTGAGAGGCCTT